TATTATTTTTAAACAGGTTATTCTTGTATTTTCCTTGTTTGAGCTGTTGAGAGTCATTAGAAGTTGGGGAGCAAACAGATTTGATAATCTTGCAATCCTGCTTGGTAATTTCCCGCAGTCATGCTTGGTGGTTGTCCATATTTGATCTTATAGGAGGTGGTTACTCAGACAGACAATTACAACTTCTGACAATTTGGCTTATGAATGCCAGGTTTCATGGGTGGTACAATGGATAGTTTAGCAGTACATGACTTACTGACTCAACCTCTCTGTCTGAACATATATAAGTGCTCTTAATGGTATGGAACTTTAATACATGGTAATCCTTGAATTATGACAGTAATAGAGGTTGTAAGTCCTGATAGTCATAAGTAGGGTTACCCACATGAGAGGCCTGATTTTATGACCTTTTTTACTGTGGTGGTTAGGCAAACATCATGGTTGCTAAGCAAACCAGTGGCTCACTGTGGGGTGGTTTTGCCAGAAACCACAAGTAAAAGTCAGTTTTGGCAAAACTAATAAAACAAGGTCACTAGACCGTGGCATGCTGCAGACAGCTATAAATGTAGCCCAATTACCAAGCATTGCCAAATGCGGTGTATGTATGTGTGTGTGTGTCAGAATTTTGAATCCAGGTCATAAGTTGCTTTTAGCACTTTGATACTGGTCATAAGTCAAGGACTAGCTGTACTACTCTCTGTAACGAGTACTGTGCCTCCTATGAGGAGCATAAAAGATATTATATAAATATCTTATGATTATCTGTGGAGATACTTTAATTGTGCAGTAATGGAAGTAAAACACTTTGGCTGTATAATTTTGATGATCTAAATGCCAAAGTTTAACTTCCAGCTAAGGCCTGATTATGGTGATGTGATAATACAGTCAGGAGTGGCAAGCCACCGTGTGTCAAATCAGAATCCATTTGCCTCCTCAGGAATGTGATAAGGTGATCTGATTGAATAAGACGAACAAGGGCCTCACAGGAGAGAAAATTTGTTTCCCTACTCTAAGCATCGTTTCATGTTTATAACATGGAAACTCTCCTTTGCTTTACACCAAACTTCTATTTTCTCTTACATATTCTTATCCCATTCACTTTGGTTTAATTTCAACAGCTGGAATTCCTGCGGTGGGTGGCAAAATGTATTCTCTAATATTCGCTTTAAGATTCAGAGGAAAAAAGTGATGAATGGTGGCAGAAGAGGCTCTATAGAATTGGCTTTACGGAAAAGATGGGGTCTGCAATTACTAACTGTGGCAAGGTAGACATAATGGGAACAACTTAAATGCAACCAGACTAATCTAGCGCTTACTGGCTTTTCAGAGCTTCAGAAGGCATTCATGTCCCATTGCTGTCAGCTGTTAAAATAACATTGCACTGGGCAATTCAAGTGTTGACAGATCGTAAGTTTTGGGCCTGTACTAACAAGAGGTCCTTTCACTTGCAGGGAGGGCGAGAGAGCTTGTTGCTGTATTGCCAATTGAGCATTGTCCAAATAGACCTTCACACCCTCCCAAGAGGTCTCAGTTGCTAGGGTGACTTGAACCTGAGGAGATCGAAACTGCTGAGTGAAGTGTCTTGAAAGTTATTTATTGCGTTGTTTTTCATTGAGACCTGAATACAAAACCAGTATTTTTCTCTGTATTTCTGCTACCTGATAAATCAGTGACGAGTAAAGTGCACCTTCCAGATGTTGATGGGCAGTGATGGGAGATGTTGGGAGGTGCTACTCAACACCATCTGTAAAGTCCCGTGTTGCTCACCTCTGTCATAACATGAATCTGCAAAATAAAATAAAAAAAAATTCTATCAGCAAGAAGGGTGAGGTCCCGATGTATTTATTTTCTGTGGAATGTTAGCACAGTTTCATGAAATATAGCCCTCAACTTACGATCAATCACTTATTGACTATTCAAAGTTATAACAGATCTTCCAAAAGGTATTTATGACTTGATTACAAAGATCCAAAGACCACATTCAGCGCTTACTTACAACATTTTTTGGAGAAAACTGACATTTACTTCCAGTTTTTTGGGGGGAAAAAAGAGGGAAAAGTGGTTTTGTTTAGCAACCGTAGATTCACTTAAAAACCATTCACTTAAGAATTGCTATAAAAATAAAAATTACGCTGTGCACACGATGATCCACTGTACAGCCATCTCAACGTATGATAATGGACAGTGTCAAGGACCAGAGGTGTCTTCAGCCAGTTCTGGCAGGTTCTGGAGAACCGGTAGTGGAAATTTTGAGTAGTTCAGAGAACCGGCAAATACCACCTCTGACTGCCCCTGCCCCCATCTATTCTCTGCCTCCCGAGTCCCAGCTGATCAACTGGTTCTTTTTTTTTTGTTGCCCTGTACAGGAGAACGGAGATGGAAAGCAAGTTAGGAGGTGAGGAGGGACTGGAGATTTTACAGTATCCTTCCCACACCCACCAAGCCACACCATGCCCACCAAGCCATGCCCACAGAACCGGTAGTAAAAATTTTTGAATACCACCACTGTCAAGGACTACATATATTACTAATGTTTTCACATTGCTGCCACTTTTTAAGAAGGCTATATGACTGCTTTCTTGTAGATCAGCTGTTACATTTTTATATGATTTCATCTTCCTACCTTCATTCAATTAAATGCTATCCTATCAAACAGGAGTAGAATTTCCTTGTTTTATGTGCTCAGGCTGAACTGGCACAAACTTTCCTAAATGCATGGTCTGATGATCTTTGCTCCTTCTTTTAAAGCCTAATAATAAGTTTCTTCCCCAGAGAGATTTCTTGCTTTTCTACTTCCTGTGTCTTCTAAACAACACCTGTGTAGTTTCTCAATTTGTTCCAAAATTACTTCTGGATAGATTCACTGTTGGTCTAGTTGATTTTCTCATAAAAGGTAAAGGTATAGATTCCCCTCACACATCTGTGCTAATTGTTTCCGACTCTAGGGGGAGGTGCTCATCTCTGTTACAAAGCTGAAGAGCCAGCGCTGTCTGAAGACGTCTCTGTGATCATGTGGTTGGCATGAATAAACGCCGAAGGCACACAGAACGCTCCTACCTTCCCACCAAAGTGGTCCCTATTTCTCTACTTGCATTTTTACATGCTTTCGAACGGCTAGGTTGGCAGAAGCTGGGACAAGTAATGGGAGTTCACTCCGTTACATGGTGCTAGGGATTCGAACCGCCAAACTGCTGACCTTCCTGATCGACAGACTCAGTATCGTAGCCACCTAACCCTAACCCTCGATTTTCTCATAGTCTCATGCTATTTATCCATCTCTCTCTTGATATTTTATTCTCTATTCTGAGAACAGTGGTCCTCTTACTATCTAAATAAACAGTTCAGTAGCCCTGTTTCAGTAGTCATTTCTCATGTAATTACTAGGTTGCATTCCACACACAAGGTTTTAATTAGAATTAGAATTCTTTATTGACTAAGTGTGATTAGACACACAAGGAATTTGTCTTGGTGCAAATGCTCTCAGTATACATAAAAGAAAAGATACATTCATCAAGAGTCAAGAATCATAAGGTACAACACTTAATGATAGTCATAGGGTACAATAAGCAATCAAATCATACTAGGAAATAGGCAATATAAATAGTAAGGATACAAGCGACAAAGTTACAGTCATACAGTCACAAGTGCGAGGGGATGGGTGATAAGGAGTGATGAGAAGATTAATAGTAATAGTAGTGCAGACTTTTCAAATAGTTGAACAGTGTTGAGGGAATTATTTGTTTAGCAGAGTCATGGCTTTCGGGGAAAAACTGTTCTTGTGTCTAGTTTTCTGGTGTGCAGTGCTCTATAATGTCATTTTGAGGGTAGGAGTTGAAACAGTTTATGTCCGGGATGTAACGGGTCTGTAAATATTTTCACAGCCCTCTTTTTGACTCGTGCAGTATACAGGTCCTCGATGGAAGGCAGGTTGGTAGTAATTGTTTTTTCTGCAGTCCTAGTTATCCTCTGAAGTCTGTGTCTGTCCTGTTGGGTTGCAGAACCAAACCAGAAAGTTATAGAGGTGCAGATGACAGACTCAATAATTCCTCTGTAGTTTGAGCTTTCTGAGTTGGTTTGAGCTTTCTTGAGCCAGTTTGAGCTTTCTGAGTTGGCACAGAAAGAACATTCTTTGTTGTGCTTTTTTGATGACGTTTTTTATGTTAGGTGTCCATTTTAGGTCATGTGATATAATAGAACCTAGAATTTTGAAGGTCTCTACTGTTGATACTCTGTTGTCTAGTATTGTAAGAGGTGGTAGTATGGAAGGGTTTCTTCTAAAGTCTACCACCATTCCTATGGTTTTGAGTGTGTTCAGTTCCAGATTGTTCCAGTTACACCACGAGGGAAGTTGTACAACCTCCTATATGCGGATTCATCGTTGTCTCGAATGAGACCAATTACTGTTGTGTCATCTGCAAACTTCAGTATTTTAATAGATGGATCATTTGAGATGCAGTCATTGATATATAGGGAGAAGAGAAGTGGAGATAGCACACAGCCTTGGTGGGCCCTGTGCTGATTGTACAGGTATCGGATATGATTCCGCCTAGCTTCACCTGCTGCTTCCTGTCTGTTAGGAAGCTTATGATCCACTTACAAGTGTGTTCAGGTACCGCTAGTTGGTTTAAATTAGTTATAAGAATGTCTGGAGTGATAGTATTGAATGCTGAATGAAGTCTACAAAGAGGACCCTTGCCTAGGTATTTGGAGATTCTAGGTGTTGTAGGATGTAATGCAGAGCCATATTTACAGCATCATCTGTCAATCTATTTGCTTGGTATGCAAACTGCATGGGATCTAACAGCGGATCCGTGATGGTTTTCAGGTGGGACAGCACTAGCATTTCAAAGATTTTCATATGTACAGATGTTAAAGCAACTGGTCTGTAGTCATTCATTTCCTTGATGCAGAGCTTCTTTGGCACTGGGATGATAGTAGAGCGTTTGAAGCAAGAAGGAACATAGCACATCTCTAGTGATCTATTGAAGATTCGGGTGAAGATGGGGGTCAATTGGTCAGCACAGACTTTTAAGCAAGACTCTGGTTGGGGTTTTCTCTGATTTTCATTTTACTTGTCCCCAGCATCAACGTCAGCGTGTGAGATGTGAATACCTATATTAGATATTGCTTCTGATTGGAGTGGCCTGAAAGCCCTATAAATCAATCAATAATTCTATATACTTATTGGGATTCCAAATACCATTTTTGCTTTAAACCACTCCTTTGGAAATTTCTGTTTCTTCAGAATGATCACTTGAAAGACTTTTGCCTTAGGCATCTGAGCTTTTATAACAACAGGAATGAAATTCTAATACTTGCAACATTAGCAACATACTGATTAAGTTTATTGGAGGGATTAAACCTTTCTGCACAGCCAGAATAAATTAGAATGTCCTTCAAATGAGCAGAGAAAATGAATGCCCAACATATGCTTAAATACCAATTTGTTACCAGTCTATGATCTATGGTTTATTTCCATTTGGATTAGCAATTAGCCTCCCACTAGCAAAATGTCAATTGCTGATGAAGTAGAAGGAGCAGAAAACAGTAGACTGATAATAAAACTGTTCCCCAAATTCAGCAGTTACCTCTGCTGCTGCTCAATTAAATTGGTTACATATAATAACAATAAAATGTAAACACATGAATCTTTCAGAAATCAGAGGAAATATTCCCCACATACCAGTGCAACATAACCCAATATTATCTCTACATGTATATAAAATCTTTTATCTCCCTCTCTCCAATATACATCGAATTTTTTTAGGGGTAGGACGAAATCAATGTATTTAGCTTTGAAAATGCTTTTGAAGAGAGGAGCCTGCAGTTCCACCAATGCTTTCACCAAACCCACCCTCCTTTAAAACTCTTTCCCCCATATAATATCTTTCAATTTAGGTTAATTGCATGGGCATTCTCCATGCTGCATCGAGAGCCCAGGATGGGTTGACTCCTTCCTATGATGTCATAGCTGAGTCTGTACTAAGATATAAAAGCCAGCCCCCGGAAGAGACCCCAGCTTTTGACTCAGCTCCTTTCAGTCAGTAGCTGTGTCTCTGAAAGCTTCTGTTAGATAACACTCACCAGCAATCTTCAGTGCCGTTTTTCCTCATTTCAAGCAAGGTTGGGAGCAGCGTTGCCAGAGCGCTGTTCAGGCAAGTTGGGCAGCGTCTGTAGAGCTCCCCCATGCCTGCGGTTTGAGCGGTCGTAAAAAGCGATTGGCAAACCGATAACAGCTTTAGCCAGCTGAGGTTCCGTAGATAGCACTCACCAGCGATCTTCAGTACCTTTTTTCCTCGCTTCAGCAGCTCCCAAGATCTGGGCAGCTGCTCTTCCAGGAGAGCAGGGCTCCCTCTCTCCTGCAGAGTTGGGAGCAGCGTTGCCAGAGTCCTGTTCAGGCAAGTTGGACAGCGTCTGTAGACCTCCCCCACGCCTGTGGTTTGAGCGGTCGTAAAAAGCGATCGGCAAACCGATACCAGCTTCAGCCAGCTGATCGTGTAGCCAGAGGCTGCCCTTTCCTTTGCTGACTTCACTCGGGGCTCTTTATAGCCTAAGGAGAAATTCTTCGATCTCGGAGCCTGTTTCCCATAGTGAGCGGCCATTTTGTAAGCCCGGGGGCCAATTTATACCCTAAGGGGCTTAATACAAAAAAAATTACAGTTTCTTTCCAGCGTAAGAGCCTTTATTCTTCAAATGGAGCAAAATAAGGGTCAGGCAGAGTTTCCCCCACCCCCCAGTGGAACAGTCTCTTAAGCCAATAAGAGAAAAAGTTGTAGGCAACGCACCCAATCAGTCCAGAGGGAGGTGGCTGCTAAAATCAGAGCTAAGCCGAAGAGGGCGAGACCTTTGACCAAAATCTTTCAGAGGAAGAGGACTCGCCCAGAGCAAACATCCTCTGCATTGGTCTTCAAACCTTCTCTCTTCAGGCCATTACTCAGCATGGCCTTGGTCACTGCCAAGCTGTCGCCAGAGGAAGTGGCTCCCGAGCCGCAAGGAATTCCTTTTAGCCAGGGGACTCATTCTTCTCCAAGCCTGTAGTGCAGGCAGGGGTTTTGCCTTCTCCCACTTTGTTCCTGGATATGGTCAAGGAACAGTGCGCTTCCCCTTCGGCAGGTCCTCACCCATCTTCTCTGGATAAGCGTTTCTACAACGTCAGCGCAGCCCTGGACAATTCCCTGGCAGTGCTTTCTGTTGACATTTCGGTTCTGGCCTCGTTCCCATTTTCTGGCACTCTCATGTGGGCATCCATACGGTGGCTGCACCAACTCCAGATTAGATTGCCTACATCTGACCTTCGGTCTCACCAAGGCCTTAATAAGATTATCGCAGTGGCGGAATTCACTGCAGATGCCACTCTCAATTCCGCCAAATTTGCATCTAGGGCCATGGCATCTTCAGTAGCAGCAAGAAGACTGTTATGGCTCAGAAATTGGCAGGCGGAGTCACGCCATAAATGGAAGCTGGTTTCAGTTCCATTCGCGGGCGATAAGCTTTTTGGCGATGCTCTGGAACCTTATCTCATCGAAACCAGAGATAAACGTAAAATTCTCTCTTCCTCTGGGAAGAGAGCCGACTATCGCCCAGCTCCTTATACTGGTAAACAGCCCTTTTGGGAGGGTGGGGGTCGTTTCTGCTGTCGCTCTAAGTAATCTCTCGTTCTCCCCACCCATCGGAGGTCGCCTAGCCTTCTTTGCCTCCAAATGGGAGGAGTCAACGGCGGATGCCTGCGTGCTCAGCACTATTAGGTCAGGATTACAATTGGACTTCCTAATGCACCCCCCTAAAAAAAAATTGATCTGTCCCGTCTCTCGGGACATTTCAAGGCAAGACCTCATGAATCGGATAGCTCAGGACCTTGATGCAGGTCAGAGCAGGCCCTTACCATAAATTGGCTAGAGCTCAGAGCCATTTTCTAGCTCTCAAGCATTTCAGGCACTCAGTGACCAGCTCTCATGTTCTAGTCCTTATGGACAACATGGCCGCCATGGCTCATGTCAACCGGCGGGGGGATGAGGTCCAGAGCCCTCATGGGAGAGGCTCTACAGTTGGGGTTATGGGCAGAGCAACACCTGTTGTCGATCTCGGCGGACCACTTCTCCGGGATCAACAACTCCCAGGCCGACTGGCTCAGCAGGAGCCTAGTCGACCAGGCAGAATGGTCTATTCCTCCTTCTCTGTTCAGGGACCTTTCCCTCAGATTCGGAACACCGGAGGTGGATCTTCTCCACTCCTCAAATTGCCCAGGTCACCAGATTTTTCGCCAGGTTTCCTTGCCAGGAAGCGGAGGGGACCAATGCCCTTCGGTGCAGATGGCCCAAAAGTCTCCTCTATGCCTTTCCCCCGCTCCCATCATTTCGGTAGTAATTCGGAAGATGTTGCAGGAACGAGCGGAGCACCTCCTCCTGGCACCCTATTGGCCAAGGACGCCCTGGTTTGCAGACCTGGTCAACCTGTCGGTGGCTTCTCCTTGGAGGATCCCAGCCCATCTAATCTCCCTTCATCAGGGGATTCTGCTCCACCCGGAGCCCCAGTGGCCCAAGCTGACCATGTGGCACTTGAGCAGCAGCGGCTAGAGGTGGCTGATCTTCCTGAAAGGGTCATCATCACTATCCTGGCATCTCGCAAACCTCCCACATGGTGCATCTATGATGCCACCTGGAAGGCCCTTCCCGATGGTGCCTTAGGGAGGGTCTCTCTCTCCCGCTTTAGCCCAGTTGGCAGAGGTTCTTAGATTCCTTCAGCATGATCTGGAGAAAGGTTTGGCCCCCAACACCTTTACGCAGGCAAGTTGAGGCCCTCTCCTCGGTTCTTTCATGGGGTTCGCTTCCTTCCTTATCCCATCACCCTTCAGTCAGGAGGTTTTCGAAAGGGGCTTCCAACCTGCACCCTCCAGTGGTTCACAGGTATCCTTCCTGGGATCTTCATGTGGTCCTTTATGCCCTTACAAAGCCCCCTTTTGAATCCCTTAGAACATTGTCTCTCCGTTTCCTGACTCTGAGGGTAGTGTTCCCCATTTCCATCACTTCAGCCAGGCGGGTATCCGTGCTCGCTGCTCTTTCCATCAGACAGGACCTTTGTTCCTTTCACGATGATAGGGTTGTCCTCAGTCTGGACCTCTCAGGGTTAACACCTGTTTCACAGGTCCTAGTACATTATGTTGCCTGGCTTCTGCCCCCTCCCGCACCATGACTTAGAGCAGCAGTGGCACTCGCTAGACGTAGGTAGGGCTCTTACAATATACATTAAGCGCACTTCCTCCTTCAGGAAGTCTGAAGCCATTTTGTTTCCTTTTCCCTTCTCAATTGGGGCACAAGGCCTCTTCTCCTACTATTAGCAGGTGGGTCAGATCTTGCATGGAGCAGGCCTACAAAGCTGCGGCCCTTCCAGTTCCTCGAGGTCTGACGGTGCACTCTATCAGAAACGCGGCCACTTCGGCTGCCTGGGCGACCCAAGCACCCTTGGAGGAGATCTGTCGTGCGGCCACGTGGACATCTCCGTCTCCTTTCATCAGATACTACCGTCTGGATGTCTTTGCCTCGGCAACTGCAGCCTTCAGCAGACGGGTGCTTCAACGAGTGGTTCAACAGTCGGTGTGATGAGCCGGACGAGGACCCATCCGTGGACATGCAAGCTTTGGTATGTCCCATCCTGGGCTCTCGATGCAGCATGGAGGAGAATGGGCATTGGTAGAGGTTACCCTGAACGCCCTTTCTATCTATGCTGCGAGAGAGCCCAGCCCCTCCCTTGATTCTTCTGGAGAGGGTACCTATTTCTGTATTCATTTGTGCTTTCAGAGACACCTTTCAGTCTGTCAAGTATCTTCGCCAAAGCTGGGGTCTCTTCCGGGGGCTGGCTTTTATATCTTAGTACAGACTCAGCTATGACGTCATAGGAAGGAGTCAACCCATCCTGGGCTCTCTCGCAGCATAGATAGAAAGGGCGTTCAGGGTAACCTCTACCAACGCCCATTCATTATATGTACATAGCATGTTAAATGTGATAAATG